TGTGTTTCGGCGATTGTTTGATATTAAAAACTTTGTCTTGTAGTAGTGTGTAGTAATTTTTAATTTTTAGTTTTCACCTGTGAGATTGATACAGAAATTTATCTTCGTATTGTTTCAGCAATTTTTTGAAATCGAAGGTACTGTTTCGAAAAAGAATATCGTTATTGTTGTCGGTATATAGCACTTCTTTTTTGTCTGTGAAATTAATACAGAAATTTATTTTTCCTATATTGCTTGCACTTGGGCAATTTTCAAAATCAAGTATTCTGTCTTCTGTGCAGAAAAATATCGTTCCTATTTGTTAGTGTAGAATAGTTCTTTTTTCCATTTTCATCGCCGCAAGTATTATTAAAAATAGTATAGTAGTAACAGTATTTTTTGTATTATTAATTCTAATTTATTCTCTATTCTATATGTAATATGTAATTTACACTGTAGAGTAGATCGTCACATGTTGTGAATGAAACTTTGAATGCTTTTGACAGTAAGGATAATAAAGAACTCGAGTGTTCTGCTCTTATCTACGTTTGCCTTCGAGTTAAAATTTATTTACTTTCTTACGTTTCTTGCAATGCGATAAGACGCTGTGCTTTGCTCTTCTTCCGCATTCAGTCAAGTTCGAATCCTCGTCTGTCGATCATTTCTGAATGACAAATTGTACCATGAAAAAGCTCACTCTCCTCTTCTCTGCGATCAAACTCCTAAATTTAAAGCAGGTTGTCGAAAACACAGTATCGTTTCTTTCGTCATATAATGTCCAACTGTTAATCGTCGTCTAATCAAATTTGTCTTTGCACATATATTTTGTGTGTGTGTGTGTGTGGCAGCTTGAATTAGAGAAAGCGCTGCTATCTGCGGAGTACGAGTCGGAATCGTTGAAACTCAGTCAGGACGAGGGTGAAAAGATAAAGGTGCAGATGCGGATAAACGAATTAGAGAGGCAGATGGCCGAGGATAACACGAGCCAGGCGAATTTGCAAGCGGAAGCGAAACAGAAAGTGCAAAGAGCTCAGCAAGCTTGCTGCCGTTTGGAGGAGGAACTGGCGAATTGCATGGACGAAACCGTGCAACAGGATATTAGCAAGAAGCTTATGGCTCAACAAGACATTCTCGAGTCGGAGAGGAAGACTTTCGAGGATTTGGAGTTTCATCATTTGGAAGAGGAAGCGAGCAAACTGGCGACCAGGGAAGAATTACAGAGGTGAATCTATTTCACGCACGATGAAATTTCTTTGATTAAACTTTCGTTACTTGTTATCTTATTTCCTTCGTTCTTTAATCGTTTTTATTCTCTCATTTTCTCACTTCCTTGTCGAAATACTCGTATAAAATTTTATTTTTAATTCTGAAGTGGTCACGTAGATTTTTTAATCCACATTTTTAATTGCAGTTTTCCTGCCTGAATTTTTTTAGACAATGACCTCATATTGTAAATAGCAATATTAAATGTGAGATTTAATTCTATTTTCGAAGGAACTTGCTTAATGTTTCTTAAACATATCTTGCGAGACAAGGATCGATCGTAATCATTGAGTTTGACTACAAATTTACTAACATAAATATCAAATTGTTGCAACGTTTCAGATACTTGAGCGAATTGACGAGCAAGATAGAGACCAGGAAGGTTCGATTGAGCCACTTGGAGGCGCAGAGATCCGAAGCAAAAAGCACGGCGACTAAAGATGCAAGAAGCCTCGAACGACAGAAACTAACGCATTTGAAACGGTTGGAAGAAGTTAGTAAATCTGGCAGATTTCAATCTGTATGACAAAATATATATCGACTCGAAAGAAAGCAAGTCGTCTCCGACTTATTTCGTTTGATTCTTGTGTTTGATGTTTTATCGTGTCGTGACAGGGTCGAAACCGAGTTAGAGCGATTAACGATGAACTGATAAAGTTGGCGCAAAATTCTTGCGAGAACGGCGACGAGAAACGATCTCCGAGCAGGGAAGACTTCGACAGGATCTCCAGGGTCACTACTGACTCTCCCATTGTAAATAATCAGGGCAGCTTGGGAAGGAAGACCATCGAGTCCCTCAAAGAAATTGAGAGAAATCGACAGCTTCATTTAGCGAAACAAGGTAAATTATTAATTTACATTTGCACATCTTTCTCTTGTCGTTTGTATAAATGGATTTTACAATATAATAAAGTATATAATATAGAGTATATGATATCTGTTAAGATAAAAATTTTCTTTAACTCGAAAACTTGAATTATTTATTATGTGTTTGAAAATATATTCTACCTATACGAATTCAGAAGTCTATATAAAACGATCGATTTATAAGCAGTGAAATATTGATGGAATAACACAAAGAACAATTCTTCCATTTGTCATTCTATTCTTTGAATTGATAAATTAACGTCAATTAACTCATAACCTCTCTGTAAATCGAATCGTCGTTTGTTAAATCTCTCTTACTCGAAAAAAATTCGACGAGACGAAAGCCCCATAACTGGAAGATTTTTATCTCCTTTCGAGATTTGAGATTATCGACATCCGATTATATTAAGATACTAATTTAAATAATTAAACTTGCGACGAATGCTATTTGAATTTTTCCTCTGCTCGTGTTATAGGCAGCCAAGTAATTTCGGAAGAAAGACGAAGAGTGGAGGAACTGAAACGAAGAGTACAAGACGAGGTTCGATCGCAATGGGAAGAAAGAAAGATGAACTGTACGTCTTTCAACAGTGTTGAATCAGGCGAAGAATCCTCTAGCTATTCAACGGGGCCAACAGAAAGGTGAGTCACACATGTTCAATCACATGTTGCCTTTAAAATGCAAATAATTCTCCGTTTGTTTTCGTAAGAAAGCGAAAACAGACGAAAATTGCATGGCTCGTGTTCGAGAATCACACGACAGAATCCTGAGATCTCCGTTTTACATTTACGCGCGGGATTTTCTCGAGGCAAGAATGGCCTTTATCATCATGAGAAAAATAACAAAGCGACAAACGCGTTTCGAATTTTGTGAAATGATGTTTTCTGTTCTATTTTTCTTTACATTTACAAATACGAATTCGATTTGAAAAATCTATGTTGAATTTATTTATTTTTCAAAATAATTCAAAAAATTTCTAAAGCAGTAGACAAGTGGTGAAATAATTTTTAAACGGGCAAGTAATAGAACGAATAGAAAGGAATCCAATTTTACAATTCTCCAAGCTCCAAGTGCAAGTAATTGAAAGATATATTGAATTTAAAATAATTTTATCAACATTTGCAGAAGTAATAGATAACGGCAGATGAAGATATAGATAGCTGATAAAACATTTTTAACCTTAGATAACGTGAACATAACATTCAACAACAATGAAGAGTTTCAAAGTGCTCAAAATGATGGTTAGTAAGTGTACAATAAATACACGAATGACGAAATCGCCTAGTTTTATTAGTGATCGAACATTTTAGCAGTAATGGCTAAACGTGTCTTATCTGCAAGCTTAGTGATAGAAAAATCATCGACAAGCTCGACAGAAATAGCAAACGCGTGCGTTTCTCGATTAAAAATTATCGTTCGTAACACATTATGGTTGATTTAACAACTTTAATTGAAGAGTATTAAATTGAAAAATATAATTCGAAGTATATATGTGTATAATTAAGGTAAAAGTTGCAATGAATAACATTTTTATTTATATCTCAATATGATCGTCAATCATTTGATTTTGGAAATTCATAGGAAATTTTAAAATTCAAAGTTACACCGAATGCATGTAACATGAAAAAATATACGAAGTGTCCAAAATATAATGCTTGCATCGAACAATTTTCTAGCGAGATTCTTTTTTCAATAATATATTTAAAAATATGGAGATTCACGGTCTTCTGCGATTAATTTATTATTAAATTGACACTCGTTTTTATTGATCCTTAAATGGAATATTGAAACCATTGCAATCTCATCTAATTTTAAAATACCAATTTTAAATAATTCTGTTATGTTTCTAACTATTATGACGAGAGATAATGTCAATTCTGGTAATTCTCAAACGCTACTATGATATTGTCATGTAATTGATGGTTGCGAAAAAATGAATTACGTAGTACGTAATTAAGTTTTTACTTCATAATTACACGTTTCATAAATGCTTGACACTAGAACTACCGGCTAGAACATAGAATTTCCATCAGAGACGTTAAAGAGATAGAAAAACACTGTAATACAATAGAATATACAAGCTTTAATACAATTTATCCATTTTGCGGGGATCAATTAAATCTCTAAAAATACATTGTTTTACATTTATAAAAATTTCTAATAAAAA